CTTTTTTTGTTCCGCAGCCGTCTGATTGAAGGATAATGTGTCACATAAGAAACACAGAGCTGACATATACAGAGACCTTCATTGATTTTTCATTCGTTACAGCTTTAAACGATGATATTATGACAGCATCCAGTTCAGATTTAATGAACGTATTATATAAGAATGTATAAAAAGGCCACTCTCTGACCACATCTTAATTAAACCAGGCGTCTCCTATATAATTAGCCTTCCAACCAGACCAAAGGTCATCGCTCACAGGATTTAATGACCAGTTTGATGATCGCACCTTCGGCCGGGCCAATTGCACTTGTCTCATGAAGAGACATAGAGACACCTCTCTTGCATTAGTTTTTATATTTCATAATCCCGAACCGCAGCTTTTGAGTTTTAGTCAACCACAATAATGTCTAAAAGCACTAGCTCACCCACAAATGAACTGCTGCTTTGCAGAAAAGACAGCAAATTCTCATTTTTGCATGAACAAATCCTTTCGAACAGAGATCTGTTCACTGTTTTGACACTGACAGACACAAATTACGAGGTACGAGATCATAGAAATAATGCGCTCGGTTTTCTTGTCACTCATTGTCAGTCTGTTTTGTAGGTCAGGCGGGGTTTGATTTAAAGGTGTTGAAGGAAATGAGTTTCGACAGAGACAGTGGCAGTGACCTGTCATATTGTGGATCAAACAGATATTATTCATCGCCTGAAGCGCCACAGAAATCATACAGAACAGGATAAGGTGGACAACTTGAGGCTATAGGAAAAAAATCGTCAGCCTCTTTATCTTTTGCATTTTGTCATGTTAATGGGTAAAAATGAACCACTAAGAAATCTAGTGTCAGTTTGAGCCAGCTTGCTTTTTTGTGTTTGATTACTAATATATATACAGCCACTGAATAAAATGATCTCATAAATAGCAGTCGTTTAATAATACATTTGTGCTTCTTCTGTCTGTCAGTGCCTCTGCACTTGGCTTTAATCACCAGAATGGTTTGTGCAACAGTTGCTGTTAATTTTTCATACGCTCAGAGGCAAAAGAATTCATATCTAATGTAATTTAATGAAGCAAAAAGCCAATAAGGCAGCGCTTTATGGGATTTCACCATTGGTAAGGGCTGTTCTTCTGCACAACACAAATGAACGGCCTTGAGGGGCTTATTGCTTTTATAAAACTGATGAAGGACGAGACATAATGAGTTATATAATACCTGGAACGATCAATTCTTTCACCAAGGAATGTAGTTCCTTTTAACAGTAAGTTGTTTAACATGGCAACACAGCTCATTCAGTCAGAATTCATTGTCAGAAAAAGGAAAAACAAAAATAAACCAACAAAAAAACAAGGTGAAATTTTTTTTTTTATAGAAATATAAATAAAATAGCAATTTTGTGGCCAATCACACAATGTAAAACAAAATCTGTGACATTTACGGTAAAATACCGGCAGCTGTGGTTGCCAGAACTTCACCGTAAAAAAATATGCAACATTTTAGGTTTTACAGACTTAACTTAAATTCACAATAAAATACCGTATTTCATTAACTGATGTAATGTTAATAAACCAACATATTGAAGTACTAATATCTGTTTTGAACCATTGTTTACTGTTAAAATCACAATAATTTTTTACAGTGCACCAGATTTTTAAATGGACCTAGCCTATATATTCCTATATATTCACTGTATGTTTAATGTAAGAGCAGGGGGGCGTTTTATTTTTTATTTATTTTTTGTTAAAAATAATACAAACATTGGATTTCAACTAAAAATAAGATATTGTTTCATGATAATGATATCAATTTTAATATATGGTATATTATACATTTACTCATATGGAAAATTCTTTATCCACAATAACTATAAACTAAAAAAAACGTCTCGGTTACGTATGTAACCCTCGTTCCCTGAAGGACTTATTTTAAAATAGAAATAGGTCACTACTTGTACACCTTAACAGAAATAAGAAATAACAAAGCCAAAAAACTGTAAATTACTGTAAAGCCTATACTATACTTTTAATTATTTATCCACACAGTATGTATCTTAATTGATTATAGAAATGTGAAAAATACATTTTTTTCTGTTGAATTATTATTGTAGGCCTATTTGTTTCATTTAGTATTTGTTTTGATATAACTGACATGTTGCAATTGCTTTTTAAATGTATGTTCATCACTGCTAAATAAATAAAGTGTAATTTGAAATTTGAATGTCAATTTTAATAACATTCAAAATAGTGAAAGTTGGATAAATACATGCAGGCACAATTGCTGGTGGTGCTAGAAGCTTCAAATCAGCAAAAGTATAAACTGAAATGGTCTTAGTATTAAGCCAGATTTCATATTTTTTACTACCTAGTTCAACAGGCTGCCATTGACTCCCATGGCAGAATCATAGGAAAACTAGCAGATGGAATAAATGTCTACACACCTTTGGTCTCAGCTCCTAGAAAGGAATTGAGACAAAACACAAGAAAACACTTTGCTAAAGCTGTCTGTGGCTCTACATAATGTGATTGATGCTGTCAGTCACACAGACATGACCCGTCTGCACTAAAGCAACACGCTCAACCTTTTAGCATTTGCAATCATGCGTTAAGTGAATCTGTTTCCAAGGCAACCTGGGTTCCTGATAAATTCCCTAGAGGTGTGAGCTGGTGAGCCTATTGTTTATTTCCTTTTCAATTTGATAGATATTTTAGAAAATAAAAAACAATTAACAACAGAGGTTTTCCACAATATTTTTTTTTAAACAATGGCTAATGACTGAACCTGAAAATGGTAAACCAACAGAAAATATAGAATTTATCCATCAATTCCATTCAGACAGCTTATCCTCTGTATAGGGTGGCAGGAGAATATAGTCAGGGTTATTAACTAAAACTAAAACTAATATCATAAATATAAAAAAAAGAACATAAAATATAAAAAACTCCTTAAACGTTTTTTCAGCTAGATATAAAAAACAATTTAAAAAAAATGAAAATGACAAAAACACAACACAATTACTCAAACTTTAACTTAAAAATTAAAATGTAAAAACGAATTCAAAATATTAAAAATACAATAGTATCTCTATACCTAATAACCCTTGAGTATATAATATGTTTTATTAATTTTATGTGTAAAAGCTTGAGGATGTTTTTGTGATTCCAATTATTGTGCAAATCATTCAATAATTTTAAAAGGCATAGACAATTTAAAGGAATTTCTGCCATTAATTATCTGGGCGGAATCGGCTGAGATTCGTTTTGCGCATCTCAAATCTCTTATGGCGGCCCGAAAAGTCAACCAAGACGTTTTACACAAAACAATATTTTTTGTGATGTATTTGTGATGTTTAAATAATAAAACAAATTAAATCAAATATGTGTATAATATTAATAAAAAAATTACAATACTTCGATTTTACGTCCGATCCAAAACAGAAATCGCTCGGTTGCTATGGTTACCGCATTGGCGAATGCAAATTCTGTTCGCGAGCGTCTGTTTTGCGCACATTTTGATGTAATGTAACATTTTTGGTTATGTCGAAATGTTATTGTGATTTATTTGTGATGTTTATATAATATAACAAATTAAATTAAATATGTGTATAATAATAATAATTAAAAAAAACAATTAAATAAATTATGTGTATAATAATAAAAAATTACAATACTTCGATTTTACGTCCGATCCAAAACAGAAATTGCTCGGGTTGCTATGGTTACCGCGTTGTCAAACACAAATTCTGTTCGAGAGCGTCTATTATGCGCACATTTTGATGTAATTTAATATTTTTGGTTATGTCGAAATGTTATTGTGATGTATTTGTGATGTTGAAATAATATAAAATATAAATAATAAAAAAATTACAGTACTTCGATTTTACGTCCGATCCAAAACAGAAATTGCTCGGGTTGCTATGGTTACCGCGATGTCAAACGCAAATTCTGTTCGCGAGCGTCTATTATGCGCACATTTTGATGTAATTTAATATTTTTGGTTATGTCGAAATGTTATTGTGATGTATTTGTGATGTTGAAATAATATAAAATATAAATAATAAAAAAATTACAGTACTTCGATTTTACGTCCGATCCAAAACAGAAATCGCTCGGTTACTATGGTTACCGCATTGGCGAATGCAAATTCTGTTCGCGAGCGTCTGTTTTGTGCACATTTTGATGTAATGTAACATTTTTGGTTATGTCGAAATGTTATTGTGATGTATTTGTGATGTTTATATAATATAACAAATTAAATTAAATGTGTATAATAATAATAATAATAAAAAAAATTAAATAAATTATGTGTATAATAATAAAAAATTACAATACTTCGATTTTACGTCCGATCCGAAACAGAAATTGCTCGGGTTGCTATGGTTACCGCGTTGTCAACCGCAAATTCTGTTCGCGAGCGTCTATTTCGCGCACATTTTAATTTAATATTTTTGGTTATGTCGGAATGTTATTTGAAAGCCCTACCAGAATGCATGGAAGAATATGCCTACATACTTTTAAAACAAACATATTGTTTTGAGTTAGGCTACTTCAGGGGCGGAGGGTACAAGCCTTAACTTAACCGAGACTTAATTCGGTGGTTAACTCTTAAAAACTCCCTAAGCATTTCAGATTTTAAAGGGGTCATATGATGCGATTTCATTTTTTCCTTTCTCTTTGGAGTGTTACAAGCTCTTGGTGCATAAAGAAGATCTGTAAAGTGCTCACGATCCGCCACTTCGGATTTGTTGCGCATGCGCACAGAGAGGCGCGGAGCTGTCCAAGTGCTGAACCCGGCGCACAATCCAGCGTCTGTCATCAGAAGAGCTTCTCCAGCGGTGACAGACGCGTCTCACTCTGAAACCACACCGTTTAACGACAGACAGGACTGCATCCGTCATCTCTAATCGCTCGTTCCGTTCCCGCTGCGTCTGATTCGAGCGCAGAATGATTTTAGACGCTTTGGGGACGCGTAACAGCGGATCCGCGGCGTGTCGGTGTCGTTCCTTTCACACTGACGAACCATGAGATTCTGGACTGAAGTGGCTTCACCTGCGGAATCCTCCGGCTGTGTTTTAGCTCGGAATCAAACGCGACTGGCGTTCGTTCAGGGCGCGTTTCTGAGCCCATGGCCAGAGGAATGACTCGCCCTTCTGTAAAACTCCTCACAACTTTACTCGCGTGCTTGATAGAAATGCACAACTTCAGGTACGTGCTTCACTTCTTCAGCTGTTAAAGCAACAGCTGTTTAGGCTTAGAAACAGCTCAATGTTAGTAATACAAGGACGTTTATGAAACGCAAAAGCGCGAGGAGCGTCTCTGATCGTTCTCTTGTAACGCGCGTTGCCATGACAATCAAAGAATGCTCGGATTAAAATCAGAACGTCAGTTCAAATTCAAATTCGAATGCGTGCGGATCAATGAAGATTCCATTCTATTTTTGTGATTCTATAGGTAGAGGAAGCTGGGGTTCGTTGTCACAAGGTCAATATCTCAGTAACTCAGGGTTTTAGTCAGAAATAGCCTAAAATAGCATTGCTCTGTTGATGTCTGAATATCTACTTCAAAACACATTTTAATTAGAATATATTCTGTATCATCCAGTGTCATATTTGTGTAACGTATATTGGTTAATAAGTAGACAAAATAAAACCTCACTGACTTACATGAAGACAAACATCACTACAAAGTAATGAACTGAAACTGTCACACATTTCATTAATTATGATATGACATTTTTGCTGTTTCTTTTATTTGTGTCAATAGTGACAACATGCCCCGCAATGAGGGTCAACTTGTGTTAAATGAACTGTATCTCATTTTCTGAACAACAAAGGCAGACATGATAAATAACTTGTTTGTAGTTCATATTGGTTTGTGTCTATACAGAAATTGACATTCAAACGATATTCAGTGGAGTAAAAGTGTGACAACTAGCCCCGCTCTATTGCCTCAGTTCATTCTCTAGGACAAAGAGCCTCAAGTGCATTGATATAAAATAAAAAAAAGAGATTTTTTTATGATAAATACATTTAATTCTACTTAATTCTATTCTAGAGATGTTAATTTGCCAAGCAGTTTTCTTATTTTATAACATTACCAAAAACAGTTCCGGGAACATTAGTTTATGCCTATAAAAATAATGATAACCATAAAGAACATTAAGAGTGAGTTTCCAAAATAAGTGAATGGTTTGTGATGTTTATTGTGTCTCAGGATAACGGCAGGAAAAGAGTACGAGAGAATAACGGGACGTGAATCTACATCTGCGATGTCTCCCTCGGATTTCCTGGACAAACTGATGGGCAGAACGTCAGGTTACGACGCACGGATAAGACCCAAGTTTAAAGGCATGAAACCGCTGAAAATAAAAAATCACTACACTGCTGTTCTTATGCATGAGATTACAATCAATCAAAACATTCTGATGCTGCTTTATCATAATGTCTCAGATTCAGATTGATTTTTACAAACAATGCTGCAAGTGATTAAAATGTTTAATCGAAATAATAACATGATGCACCTATTCATTAATTGAATCAATTACAAATTAATCACACATCAATTTGGGTTGAGAAATTACCCCCCAAAAAAGATCATTTAATGTCATTAATGTGCTAAATGAGAAAAGCATTGAATAGACATGACAAAAAGTATAGCTTTAAAATGAATATTTTGAAGGTATTACACATAAACCAATGTGGACATAACATTGTTTTCAGAAGCTGCATCTGAAGTGGCATTTACATCGCAATTAGAATTGCATCAATAATGCTATGAGGTCAATGGGTTTTAAATGGACATTAATGGGTTAAAAAATTGAATATTGAAATATGAAGTGATTTAAAAAGAAAATGAAATGATACTGAAAATATGAAATAAAACTGCCCAGTAGGTGGTCTCAATGAGCGAATCACTGAATCATTGGCTCACTTGATTCATTCAGTGAGGGCCACCTCTGATCAGGCAATGACTTGTAAGACACTATACATCTATGCTGCCTTCAAAAATCCATCAGATGAAGCTCAGATGTGAAGCTGACATTGGATTCGGATATGCCTTCATACCTTGAAATGTGTCTTCTGAAGGCAGCATTTTCCAGTTTTCGGACACAGCCGAGACAAGCAACTTGTCTTTATCAACGTATCACTGAATCATTGCCTCACTAGATTTGATTAAATGGCTGCTTCGGTCAGAAACGAAGCAAGTGACTGTCTTGCTTTATGAAGGAGTCACTGAATCATTGTCTCGCTCGATTCATTCAAACGGCTCATTTGATCAGAAACAAAAAACAAGCGACAGTCCTTATGAAGGAGTCACTGAATCATTACCTCATTCAATTCGTTCAAACAGCTGATTCATTCAGAAATAAAGCAAGCGACTGTCTTTATGAATAAGTCACTGAATCACTGATTCACTTGATTCGTTCAAAAATGTGGATTCATTAGAGGCGCTCAACAGTTCTGCTGTGACAAAAACCCATATAGTGTGATTTTTTTGCACTCGTATCTTGAATTTTAGGCTCATATAACTGCATTCTAATAGGCTTCATCACGCAGTCAGTCGTCCTGCATCACGTTCATCAGCAACTGCATCAATGTAGGATGACGTAGAGTCTGGGCTGTGTTTCACTAAAGTATCATAAGCTTAAAGGGTTAGTTCAGCCAAAAATGAAAATTAGGCTGCGTTTTACTCACCCCCGAGGCATCCTAGGTGTATATGACTTTCTTCTTTCAGACGAATCCAGTCGGAGTTATATTAAAAAGTGTCTTTGATCTTTCAAGCTGTTTAATTGCACTCAGCAGGTGTTGCATGCATCAGTCCAAATGAAGTGAAATAAAAAGCACCCATCCATAAATAAAAAGTGTCTCACACGGCTCCAGGGGGTGAACAAAGGCCTTCTGTAGCGAATCCATGCGTTTTTGTAAGAAAAATATCCATATTCAAAACGTAATAATCACTTTAATGTTTTACTCACCCCCGAGGCATCCTAGGTGTATATGACTTTCTTCTTTCAGACGAATCCAGTCGGAGTTATATTAAAAAGTGTCTTTGATCTTTCAAGCTGTTTAATTGCACTCAGCAGGTGTTGCATGCATCAGTCCAAATGAAGTGAAATAAAAAGCACCCATCCATAAATAAAAAGTGTCTCACACGGCTCCAGGGGGTGAACAAAGGTCTTCTGTAGCGAGGCTACACCTAGGATGCCTCGGGGGTGAGTAAAACGCAGTTTTGGGTGAACTAACCACTTAAGTACATCATAGACCCATTGAAACCAATAGAGCTACGGTCAACTTAGGCTTACGATGCTTTAGGCGGTGCATTAAATGCATTTTAACATGCTATTTTTTCCATAATTAATTGGATCAAATGAACTCATTGAAACATGTTCCGTCAACCATCAGCTTTACACTTACATCTCACGCACACATCTCACCACAATATAAAAAAACAAGAAATTATTCATGCATAAATTATCTAAATATATAAATTGTTTTAAGAATATAATTCAGTAACTCATTTGTTAAAATTAGTTAATGCATTAGTTAACATTGAGCAAAATATCTGTATAGCTATTAATCTTTTTAATAGTCAAATACAATTGTTCATTGTTTGCTCATGATAGTTCACAGTGAAATAACTAATGTTAGCTAAGATTAATAAAGGTTGTAGAAGTATTGTTTATTGATCGTTCATGCTAATAATGTAGTTTCTTGTCATTTTTTTATATTTTGTGCCACAAAAACACCACTAATTATTAATTTTTTTCTTTTTAGGATATTTTACTGTCTTATCCTCATCAGTAGACACAGTGTTTTTAACTGTATTACTATAATGTAATGTACTATAAATGTAATACAATGTTTTTAATTGAAATCTGCATAATTGATTAATGTCACAATGCAAATCTTAATATATGCTACATTTTCTATTATTTCTCTGTTGTTGTTTTTTTTTCTACATTTAGGATGTAATGTGCATAATTGATTACATTAATTTTACAATGCAAAAAATAGCTATAGGGTTAATTTTCCTTATGCAGAATATAGTTAATTATTTGTTTTTGTTTTAAGTACAGCAGTAAGGATTTAGTATGAGTAATTGTTGGATATGGATAATTGTTAAAATTAACTGAAAAAAAATCCTAATATAGGCTTAATTTTCTTTATGCAAAATATAATTCATTATTTCTTTGTTGATTTTTAGGTGAAATATGCCTGAGACACATAATTGACTATATAAAATTTCATCACTTGAAATAAAATAAATTCGTTTCAGCTGGCAACATTTTTTATTTCATTTAGTTTAACTTGAAGTGCAAGTAAAAAACTAAAAGTTATATTATATGTGACCCTGCAGCACAAAAGCAGTCTTAAGTCGCTGGGGTATATTTGTAGCAATAGCCAACAATACATTGTATGGGTCAAAATTATTGATTTTTCTTTTATGCCAAAAATCATTAGGATATTAAGTAAAGATTATGTTCCATGAAGTTATTTTGTAAATGTCCTACCATAAATATATCAAAACTTAATTATTGATTAGTAATATGCATTGCTAAGAGCTTCATTTGAACAACTTTAAAGATGATTTTCTCAATATTTAGATTGTTTTTTTGCACGCTTCCAGATGATGCATACATCTCAGTTTCACAAAATTGACCCTTATGACTGGTTTTGTGCTCCAGGGTCACAAATGATATATGTTGAAACATATATGTTATATATTATGTTACTGTATAAAACAGTATCTTGATACTAAATAACACTGGTACAACTTCTCACTATATTCCTATATTCCAAATAAAGTCATCTGCTCATGCAATACTGAGAAGGTTTCTATAAGAGGAACTAGTTTTACTTCAGTGTATTTTGGAAGTGAATGGTGTCTGTCAAAGGATCGAGTAATTCGTCTGCGTTCATCTGCTGTGTTATTTAACAGTCTCTTACTTTATTTGTTTCGGAGCAGTATCTGAAGGACGCTATTACCGCGTCTGTCTGTTTCTCCTCGGCTCTCCAGCAGACGAGCGCCAGCTTTGATTCAGCTCAGTTTGGTGTGGATGTGTTTGTGCCCAGGAGTGATTAAAACACAATCTTGTTAGAAAACATTCACGAGGTTCAAAATTCCTCCGAGGCGCATCGAATGGATTATTTTTAGAACGCTGCACCTAGAGAACCTTAATAAACTCCTTTCATGATTTTTAACATGCATGACAGGCTACAATCTGCTCAAAAAACCAGGCTGTAGCGATATATAGTCACAATCTATTACAATGCTTTACTTCTTGCATTGAATATTTTCGATCTACATTAACCATTTCAGAGCAAACGCATACATGTTAAAATATTGACACGGATTCATTTAGCAGAAGTGAGTTACTAGTGAGGGATACAACAGAAATGAAGAAACTGTGAAGTGTAGACAAGGATTATAACTATAAAAAGGCAATCAGTATACAGTATTTGAGTTACGATACTGTACGAGGATGCTTTCAATTGATCAGAAGTGACAGTAAAGCAGGGTTTTTATTGTTAACTAAAAATAAAACTTGCAAATTTAGTAAAAGCTGAAATAAAATATTAGAGTTAAATATATAATGAAAATTCATTAATTCATATTCATTAATATAATGAATATTACAGTTGCATGTATAATCAAATATTGTCAAAAGGTAGTTAATGTACATTATTTCAGTTACGTGATAGTGCAAGGATGCATTAAATTGATCAAAAGTGACAGTAAAGCAGGGGTTATTATTTTTATTTAAAAATAAAACTATTAAAACATTTTTGCTAATCGAAATAGATGTAGAAATAAAACATTAAATGAAAAGCTATATGAAAATTAGAAATGTTAATTTAACTAAATTAAATTAAGGCACTTAAATGATAAACTGGAAATAAATAAAACTAGATCTGAAACTGAAATATATATATTAAAAAAAATAAATAAAATGACAAAAGTACATAAATCCTAAAAAGAAAAAAAGGTTATATAAATAAAAACAAATTCAAAATAGTATTAAAAACTATGGTAGTATATAAATAATACTAAAATAACTCTGCAGTAAAGACATTTATAATGTTACAAAAGATTTCTATTTCAAATAAATGCTGTTCTTCTGAACTTTCTATTCATCTGTGAATCCTGAAAAATAAAATGTATCATGGTTTCCACAAAAATATTGTGCAGCACGACTGTTTTCAACATTGATAATAATCAGAAATGTTTCTTGAGCAGCAAATCAGCATATTAGAATGATTTCTGAAGATCACGTGACACTGAAGACTGGAGTAATGACGCTGAAAATTCAGCTTTGAACTAATATGCTTTTGTGAAGCACTACCATTCAAAAGTTGTTTTATTTTTTAAAGAAATTAATACTTTTATTCATCGAGGACGCATTAAATCGATCAAAAGTGACAGTGAAGACATTTATAATGTTACATAAGATTACTATTTCAAATAAATGCTGTCCTTCTGGACTTTCTATTCATCTGTGAATCCTGGAAAATAAAATGTATCACAGTTTCCACAAAAATATTGTGCAGCACGACTGTTTTCAACATTGATAATAATCAGAAATGTTTCTTATAAATCAGCATATTAGAATGATTTCTGAAGATCATGTGACACTGAAGACTGGAGTAATGATGCTGAAAATACAGCTGCGCATCACAGAAATACATTACAGTTTAACACATATTCACATAGAAAACAGCTGTTTTACATTCTAATAATATTTCAGATTTTTGACTATATTTTTAATCAAATAAATGCAGCCCTGCTGAGCAGAAGAGACTAAATCTTACCAACCCCAAAGCTTTGAATGCTACTACATGTCATCTGAATGGTGAACTCAGTGGCTTAACATGTGAACGTTGCTGAATTATTTGCTATTTAACATCATGTTGTTCTTATTTGTCGTCTGCAGGTCCTCCTGTGAACGTCACGTGTAATATATTCATCAACAGCTTCGGCTCAGTGACAGAAACCACTATGGTGAGTGTTTGTCGTTTACTTTGCTAAAAGGAATTATTATCCATTTACTGTTCTTACTGTTGCAAATCATCTCTAATCAACACTTTCCAATCAATCACATGAATAAAATCCAATAAAGAAGTGAGCTCTGAAAACAAGATTTCACCTTCCACTGACGCTGTACTGAAACATTCCCTCAGTGCTCCTTGTTCTACACACACTGGCATTAAAGCGCTTTAGTCTTAATAACTCAGACGGAGAACGAAGCTCTGGATCTGAATTCAGATCGATTAGAGTCACGTTTGGAGATTTCCAGACGTAAACAATTCCCAGCTCGCATGCTTCTTTCCCAAGGAATATTCCTGAAATCCATCTCCAGTGGATATTAAACACGAGCACCAGAGACGCTGCTTTGATCAAATGCTAATTTTGTTGACATGTTTCTGATGATCATTCTTAAGCAGCCAGTCATACAAGTCCACTAATCAACTCTACAGAGAATACTAAATACCACTAGAGCTTGATGATTTTGGACAAAACAACATTAAAATGATGTGAAAAAACACTACATTTAATTTATGATTTTATATATTTCATTGCTTTCTAAAATAATGATTTCTTAAAATAATGTAATGCATCTGGAGTATTTACTTTTGTGTCATAATTCTAATAACTAGAATATATTTAGATCTATATATATATAGACAGATGTATAAAATATATTTAAAATATTTAAAAAATTTGTTTTTATTTTTCATGTATGAAATATAAATTGTATAAATGTATATATATATATGCGTAAATATTTTAAAATACATTTATACAATTTATAATATTTTTATACATATATATAATACATTGTTAACTGTAATAAAATGCTGTTAATGCATTTTAAAGAAAATGCGCACACTAAATGATGCTACTTATCTTTATATTTCGGCAGTTAATTAGCTTGATTATTATAGGCTTTTTGTAATGCCATTATTTGCTTGTAATGAATGGAACAAAAAGTCTGGCTAATATATTCGTCCAACAGCATTTTCACAGAGCTTTGTCTAATGAAAACCTTGAATGGCATTGGATTTCTCTAGTTAAGCTAAACTTTGAACAAAAGCACACAGAAATGCTTATAAAGTCACTGAATGGCTTTGCTCTACATGTTATGATGAAGTGAAAGGGTTAGTTCACCCCAAAAAATGAAAATTCTGATCTTGATTGAACTGCTTTTGTAGTTTTAATAATCAATTTATTTGTAATAAACACACTGAAGTGATTTTTACATTTGATTATTCGTTTTTCTTACTTGAATGCTTTTGTTTAGATTCGTGCACTCGGCCTGTTTGATTCTTTCTTATATTTGTTCTACTGTTGTTGCTTTTTTTTGCATCTGTTCTTATGTTCTTTGATCTAACAAAGATCAAATAAAAAATGGCTATGTTGTGATTATTAGTATAGTAATTAATAGGAAGGAAGGAAGTGGAGAAAACAATGCAATTTTGCTGGTGATTTTGTTTTGGAACCTTCAGAAAACTTCATCTTGAGTTTTTTAGAACTGACTTCGTCGACTTCAGACGGCTGTAGCTCAGGCTTTTTTTTGTCCGATTCCAACAAATCAAATGTGAGCCTGCAGCACAAAAGCAGTGTTAAGTCGCTGGGGTATATTTGTAGCAATAGCCAACAATACATTGTATGGGTCAAAATTATACATTTTTCTTTTATGCCAAAAATCATTAGGATATTAAGTAAAGATCATGTTCCATGAAGATATTTTGTAAATGTCTCGCCTTGGCACGGACGATCATTGAAACGCCGGTGACTGTACTCGCGTCTCAGGACTACAGGGTGAACATCTTCCTGCGGCAGAAGTGGAACGACCCTCGGCTGGCCTACAGCGAGTATCCCGACTCCTCTCTGGATCTGGACCCGTCCATGCTGGACTCCATCTGGAAACCAGACCTGTTCTTCGCCAACGAGAAGGGAGCCAACTTCCACGACGTCACGACGGAAAACAAGCTCCTGAGGATCTTCAAGGATGGGACCGTCCTGTACAGCATCAGGTATGAAGACGTATTAACTCTATACGAACACTTATAAGTCTACTGCATGCCTTCTGATTGATAGTTCAGAGTCTTTTATCCAGTAATTGTACAAACGTCCAGCTTCAGCTGGAGCTTCTCGTGTGTTTCTGCTGTGAATCTGGACTGGTTTTTATCAAGTAAAGGTCAGAATAACTGCAGTAATATCTCCAGATGAACACTTACTGGACTGAAGCAGCTCAGCTTTACTTGATTCTCCATCAATCATGTTTTAGAGTCTCAAATCTGATCCTCAGGATCTTTTGAGGAGCGTTTGTTTCCAGAAGCTTTACTTTCACTGTTCCTCAGCGGAGGAATGATCTTCACAAGCCTCCAGAACATCTCACATCTTCTGAGGAGCCTTTATTTCTTCAGCTCTCAATCACTGCATTATATGTTTGGAGCATTTCACTCTCATTTTACTGAGACAGATTACTGATTACTGCAGATATAGAGCGACCACTGATATTTAGATCACTTTATGTCAGTATCTGCTGCACTGTTAGAAACATCTCACTAATTTACATTACAAGCAGCAGAATATCATCATATAAATATCAGCATCTGCAGAAAATTCAGATTTTTGTTCAGATTGAGTCTCTTTATAAAAGTTTTTTCTTTATATTCTCACTATATCAGACTATATGAGCCATAAAAACCTGATGGATCAAAAATGGTACAACATATAAAACACATATGCAAACTTTTTTTTAAACTTCTTTTATATTTTGTGTAAAGTTTTCAAAAATTGTTTATTTCTCTGACTTTCATATCTCAGGCATTTCAGGGTTAAATCTGGAGCAGATCTTCATATTTTTAAAAAAAAATTTAAATTTAAATTTAAATTGATTTGTTTCGTTTGATCAAACAGAATGAATGTTTTAGAAGAACAAAAACTAATTAACAGCACAAAATATTTAAATAATGTTTAAAACCAAAATTACTAAAACTAAAATTAAAATGAAAGAAATAAAACTAAATGATAAATAAATATTAGATGAAAAAACTTAAACCTAAAATATTTCAAATGTTGCCCTGGCAACTGAAATTAAATTTAAATAAAAATAAAATATAAATAATGTTTAAAACCAAAATGACTAAAACTAAAATTAAAATGAAAGAAATAAAACTAAATGATAAATAAATATTAGATGAAAAAACTTAAACCTAAAATATTTCAAATGTTGCCCTGGCAACTGAAATTAAATTTAAATAAAAATAAAATATAAAATTTTAAGTTGAAGTACTAAAATGACTAAAACTGAAATAAAAATTAATTAAAGCTAAATAGAAATATTTAAAAATGAATAAAAATGATAAAAGCACAAAATTAAAATGAAAGCTGAAATAAACTATATAAATGATGAAAAACTTAAACGAAATAAGAAATGTTGCTTTAGCCACTAACTGAAACAAAAGACGTTTAAGTTAAAGTACTAAAACTGAAAAAAAAATTTTTTTTTAAATCTAATAAAAATGACAAAAGCACATAACAAAATGACTAAACTAAAATTAAAATGAAAGCTGAAATAAAAAATCTAAATACAAGATTAAAAACTAAACAAAATGAGAAATGTTGCCTTTTCAACTAACTGAAAATAAGCTCAAATTGAAAAACAAAAATGACAAAAACTAAAATAAATAAAAATTGATGAAAGCTAATAGATTTAAAACAAAAAGAGACACAAAAGCACAAATAATGGAAAACTTACACTTAAACTTAAGCAAAAATAGAAGTGTTGCCTTGGCAACTGACTGAAATATAACCAAGCGGCAACCTCCCGCTCTCTCATGAAGCCAACACGGAAGTGACTTAAACTGTAATTCGTCAACTGGCCGCTAGAGGCTGGCTGCAAAAGGGAGTCAATCCCATAGACTCCCCAAAGTTAAAATGCCCGACTTTACAGCAGAAAAAAACATGTTTACAGCCTGGTTCAAAAAATGATTTTGGTCTATATAGCTAATTTTGCCCTTCATGACAACCTCGAGGGGGTGAATTTTTTTTATAACTCAGCCGTTTAAATTATATTAAGCCTTAAAGTTTACTTTTGAGTAAACTTTAAGTGACAGTTAAAGTCACTTGAGTGACAGGTGGATTGCCGCTGCCGTCACCACCGTCGAGCTAGGTGGGCGTGGCTTCAGCAACCATGTTTTGTACCTTTTTTGAACCTTTTTGTCCAACACTTTTTTTTGGCTTATGACTCTTTAATGAGGACTTTAAGAAAAATCTTTACTGGAAAAAAGAATCGGAAAAATACATCCATAACTAATGCTGCAAAAGTGTATAAAACAGGATAATTTCAGAGATAAAAAAAATATATATATATATATTAAAATTCTGTAATTATTAATCATTATTTTCCATTGTATGCATGTTCCAACACTTCATGACTTACCTTTTGTCCATGGGACACAACAAAAGAAGTGTAGCTGAATATTGACCCAACTCTTTTCCTTAAAAACACTGACCACAGGCTTTCAATATAAACATTTTGAAAATAAAATCTATTTTCTATCAAATGAAAGCTTATGGTGACAAGGTACTCTGAAGTGCCAGAAAAAACCCCATTAAAGTTCCATAACAAGTTCATGCAACTCTATTTTACACCATAGTCCCCTAAAGCAGCTGTGTGTGAGAAACAGATCGAAATGTACAACCAGTCTGAGTACACCCTGCAATTATGCCATCTGAGGCTAATTTCAAAGATTATAAAATATATCTTTTATCCTAAGGCAAAATCAGCAGTTTTGGACGGCTGAGCGTGACATGCTCACTGATGGCTGATTAATTTTAGCCATTGATGTAGTTTAATGAAGAACCAAGCATGACAATTAATTACATGTGTGTATGAGAGATCACAATGAAAAAAAAAAAGTGAGAGAAGCACAGCTGAAACTGTTTTAGACTAGCTTAAAGAGATTGTAAAAATTTTTTTTAATTCTCATCATTTGTTCGCCTGCCTGTTGTTCCAAACCTGATTTTCTTTCTCCTGTGTAGATGCTGATGAAGAAAATGTCTCAGTGTTTATGTAGCTATATATAATGATAGTGGAGGACCAGTGTTGTTTGGACCATAATGTTTTTCTTTTGTGTTCCACAGAAGGAATAAAGTCATTCAGGTTTGGAACAATAACATTATTTATCATTCTCTTTGTGTTACGACTGTACTATCAAAATTACAGTGCATGGCCACTTTTGCACCCACACACTTAGCCAATACACTTTGACTCTGTCTTGTTTCCTTTCTTCTGTTCATTTCCAGGCAAAATCTGCTTTATTGCCAACATTACCACAGAGGGATTTGAGAAAATGTCGAAACAGATGTGGACTAGTAACTAAAACTTAATTTAAAACAGTTTAAATAAGGAGGGAAAAGTATGCCTTTGCTTTTAGAAAATATATCTTTTTATTTGAAGACTTGGAATATATTTATAGTTTTTTGTCCCTTTTTCTGAAACTTGAAAGCCTACAAGTCAGTGTGTGTATTGTAGTATGGAAAAGTGCAGCATTAAAGGGTTAGTTCACCCAAAAATGAAAATTCTGTCATTAATTACCCACATGTTATTTCAAACCCGTAAGACCTCCGCTCATCCTCGGAACACAAATAATATATTTTTGATGAAATCCAAGAGCTCTCTGACCCTCCATAGACAGCAATGTATCTGATACATTCAAGGCTCAGAAAGGTAGTAAGGACATTGTTAAAATAGTCCATGTGACATCAGTGGTTCAAATTTAATTTTATGAGAAAAGAATACTTTTTGTGCACAAAGAAAACAGAAATATCGACTTTATTTAACAATTCTAATATACGTTTCTGGGCCTGGGAATGTTTCAGTTACATTGCTATCTATGGAGGGTCAGAGAGCTCTCGTTTTTTGATTTCATTAAAGTAATTAATGATTATATCATTAATAATCGAGTAATTAATGACAGAATTTTCATTTCTGGGTGAAATAACTCTAACCCTAAACGTTCTCCATTTCCCACAGAAGAAAGTCATATGGCTTTGAAGCAATGAGTAAATATTGACAAGAATTAGTGTGAACTGAATATTTTAAGACACTTATAGTAATTACATGTCAATTGCAATTAAATGAAAATGTATTAAATCTAAATCAATGGAATTAGCTGAATTTTAGACTGCTCTTTGACCCACTTTAGCAGGACTTAAGAATCCTTTATATGTAATTTCACAGTTACTTCTGTTTGAAAAATACTGCAATCTGAAATGTAATACTGAAAATTGTATGTCATGTATTTAACAAGCGGCAACCTCCCGCTCTCTCTCGTGAAACCAACAAGGAAGTGACTAAAACTGCAATTCATCGACTGGCCGCTAGAGGCTGGCTGCAAAAGGGAGTCAATCCCATAGACTCCCCATGTTAAAATGCCCAAATTTACAGCTGAAAAAAAAGTGTTTACAGCCTGGTACAAAAAGTGGTTTTGGTCTATATAGCTAATTTTGCCCTTCATGACAACTGTGAGGGGGGTGAATTTTTTTATAACTCATCCGTTTAAATTATATTAAGCCTTAAAGTTCTGCATAATTAAGGGCGTGGCCACTTGAGTGACAGGTGGATTGCCGCTGCTGTCACCACCGTCGAGCTAGGTGGGCGTGGTTTTAGAAACCAGCTCACGCCTCTTTGCCCATTTTCGATTATCCGGGAGTGACGCGCGGTGACGTGCTGCCAAGATGGCGACAGCCGCCTCCGCCCACTTTAGGCTTCAAAAACCTCTTCAGGAACCTACGGGTGACGTCACAGACACTACGTCCATGTTTTTATAGTCTATGAATGTAACAAGTGTAAGCTGAAGTACTAAAACAAACCAAATAAGAGCAGAAGACATCAAATTCATCTGATAATAAAGCTGTTCACTCTTCTGCACTGATGGGATATGTTTGTCACATAGTAAGAGACGTTCAGCGATTCACTCAGCAGCAAAAACACAAGAGAACGACTGAAGTCAGGATCAGTTAAAGCTTGCTCAAGAGCCTGATGATCGGCGCTTATTTACAATCATCTCAGTTGAAGCTGAAGCTCGAGCGCAGGACTGGCTTTAAAGCATTCAAAGAGCAAAACGCTGAACATACAGGCCTGTGTGACACTGAACTAAAACCATTCCATTAATCCAAATAAAGCTGAAATAAAAGAACATATCAATATTAGATGAAAAACTTACTTAAAAAACTTAAATTAGAATTGTTGCCATGGCAACTAAAATTAAATTGAAGTATAATAAAATAAAACATTTTATGTTGAAGTACTAAAATTACTAAAATAAAAATAACAAAATAAAAATAAATTAAGGAAATATAAAAAAAAACGAATAAAAGTGACAAAAGCACAAAAAGCTATTAAAATAAAAGCTAAATAGAAATATTAAAAAAAGAGATTAAAACAGCTTAATATTAAAAATAATTATAGAATCTAAAATCGAAATGAAAGCTAAATAGAAACATAAAACAAGGAATAAAAATGACAAAAGCACATGAAATTACTGAAAGTACAGTTAAAATGAAAGCTGAAATAAAATATTAATATTGGATGAAAAACTAAAAAAAAACAAAAACAAATGAAAACTGAAATAAAAGTTGAAGTAATAAGATTACTACAACTAAAACTGAAATAAAACAAATGAAAGCATATAAGAAAAAACTAATAAGAATGCACAAAGGCACAAATTAATAAAACCAAACATCTAAAAAATAAAAGGTAATTCAAAATATTAATAAATACTATAATAGTATATAAATACAAAAATAACACTAACATATTGAAAAAATGGCATTGTTTCATTTATAATCTAACTTAAGTTTTAGAATGTTTATGAAAAGTTATAGCACAAAATAAATCATAAATCTCTCAGATTGTGCTCTATTTATAGTCTTAAAGATGCGATGCTCTTTGCATCTCAAGTCATGCTGAAGAACATCAGGTCTAGTTCTCAAATGGCATTGAGTTAAACAGAATGCAAAACAGAAATATTTTACTATAGTGCTCAAACAATAGTAAAATCGTATGTATAAATCGAAGCTTTTCTCTTCACTAGTGATTCGAGCGAACACGAGCCCTGAACAGATCTCTTATCGTAAATCCACATGTTTATTTTGAAAACGAGCTGATATGACGCTGTCCTAGTTTTCATAAATGCTGTTTCTATAAATCACAAGCCATCAGCTCTGAATTCATGCATAAGTCATAGATCGGCCGAGGACTGAGCTTGCAGGTGTTTCTCAGATGAACTCGTCTAACATTAAACACTGCAGTCACATGAATCAGGTCTGATATTATAATGATATTATATAACGCAGTGTGTCTGTCACGTTGTCTGTAGGTTGACGTTAATATTGTCCTGCCCGATGGATCTGAAGAACTTCCCGATGGACGTACAGACCTGCACCATGCAGCTGGAGAGCTGTGCGTACTTCATGCATCCAGCTTCTCATTTTCATTTGACTCTTTTAATGTTTCAGACATTTGGTTGTTGTGTTTTTGTCGGTTTTATTAATGTCTATATTGTTTATATTACTTCTCATTTCAATTTTTGTTTCATTATTTTTAGTTTTACCATATTTTTTAATATTTTTACTCAGTTTTATTTTTATATTTTCTGTTTAAACTTTAATTTTAGATAACGGTTTTTGTTGGTTTTATTAGTGGCTATATTGTTTTTATCATTTTTTATTTCAGTTTTTAGTTATTTTTAGTTTTACAATATTTGTTGATATTTTTGATCAGTTTTACTTTATTTTTTGTCTTTTCATTATAATTTTAGTTCGTTTTAGACATTTTGTTGTGCTTTTTTGTTGTTTTTTTTAAACATGTCTATATAGTTTATTATTTTTTATTTCAGTTTTGTTTAGTTATTTTTATTTTGAATTAGTTTCTTATATTTGCCATTTTTATTTTAATTTTAGTTAAAATTGTAGTCATTTTATTGTGTATTTTTGTCAGTTTTTTTAGTGTTTTTTTATCATGTCTACATAATTATTATTTTTTTTTTCTATTTCAGTTTTTTTGTTATTTTTAATTTTATGATATTTATTAATGTTTTGAATTAGTATTTTTTTTTTTATAGTTTTATGACATT